GCATGACCCATATTTGTGACCATGTGCCAATATGAAGCTGTGTTTAGTAACTAATTATAGAAAGTTTTTTTTTTTTTTTAAATGTATGTTCTAGTAATGTGGCTTGATTATTTTTTTTTTTACTAAAGATACATCAGAGGGAACAGATAGAATATATTGATTTGGAGTAGCTGAATAGAAGACAACAAATAATAAGTAAAAACTATTACAAAACAAAGTCTCTGTGTGTGTGTGTGTGTGTGTATATGTATATATATATATATATACATATAAAGGAGAGAGAGATGCATATAAGAATTTCTGATGGATATTTTACATTCTGTACACGCAACTCTTTAAAAGGTTTGATAGATTTGGGAGTAGGGTCCAAACAACTTCCATTACACCACAGCTACATACACAAAAGCCCCATGAACCAAAAAATGAAGGAAATAAAATAAATAAAAAAATACAAGTACAGAAAAAAAAAAAAATATGCAGTTCCAAACTTGGAATGCATCTTTTGCAATAAATTTCATCTCACTGACCGAATAGTGCATCAGAACTACATTGGCAAATTACATGTTAGAAGAGTCAAAGAATAGATATTTTGGTAAGTCTGGAATAAGAAAGAAAGTGATAGACGAAAAGAAGATGTTTATTAATTTTACACTGCTATTTCCGCAAATGAATGAAAGGAAAAGGAGCCAAGTTCCGAAATGCTTAATTGAAACATTGATTTTTGATTAAACCTTGATGAAGCAGCTGACAACAGTAACGTTTCTCCTTCAAGAGATTCTCTCGTTCGATCTCTGAAAAGGAGATTAGATACCTAAGTGGAACCATTTCACCAGAAATGGAAATGTTTTGGTCTGGCAGAGGAAACAGTTCCAAAATAAAATATATACAGATTTTGTTGAAATGAATTTCTCTTTTATAATTATCATCAGGGAGACACAGTGGAATAATGGATAGTGGCTCATATTGGTCATTCGGAGAACTGAGTTCGAATTCCACTTGGATACATTACATTCACTTAGGAAAGGTATGAATTCTCTTCTCCCACTAGCTGTGGGTAAATAGCAGGACAGACTGGGTTCTATAGCGTTGGGTGGCAACTGATATAGGAGAAGGAAAAACTCTGAATTCCAAACCAGCCTGGAAAGGGTTGGGCTCCATCAGGCTATGTTGCCCAAGAAACAACATTTCTACTGTAGCTACAGTACATGTCTATGGTCATACAACTCTATATGATAATTCTGAGTTAAATTCTCCAGGCTATGTAGTATGGTTATAATCACACTTAGTTAAAAAGAAAAGAAAAAAAAAGAAATGCAATAACAGAAGAATCAACCAAGATGAGATATTCCTCAATATGATTAGCAGAATAAGAACAATGTACTCCCATATATTAAATAAAGTGTTTGATTTGAAATTCCTTGAAGATTACCCAGATTGACAGAAACATGAAGAAGATCAGAGAGTGCAATACTCAAAACATTGTACGTGTAACAAAAAAGATGAGGACATTATGTTGTAGAGTAGCTGAACACCCCCCCACAAGACAGACTGGTCTAAGACTATTTAAACACCACTCTCTTTTACTGAGAGAGAGAGGGAGTTAACGATTAACTGTTTATTACACTAGTCTGTGTTCTCAACGATGTACTATATTATTCCCCAGACTAAACTACTACTTATTTTCTATATGTATGTCACCCTTTCCTATTTATGACACAAAACATTAATATAATTGTAAATGAGATAAACAATGAAAAGCACCTTGAGATTATGTTTAAACACTTAACTGGAGAATAAAAGTATGTTGGCTATAATCATTAAAGCAGGCTGACAAAAATTCACCAGGTAATTTGAATTAAGTATTTACCTATGTGTTCAAGTAGAGATACAAGATCCAGTTTGGTTCCAGATTTCAAAAGCTGTTCAAAAATTGCTCAAGCTCCCTCAGCCTTTCCGCTGTTGGCAATGTCTCAAGTGCCAGGTAATGACCCCAGCCCCATCCTGAAAGAGAGATATTGCATGGAGGGATGGCCTCCTGGGGTCTTCATTTAATATTAATTTCAAACTACCCAACTACTTCAGGGAAATATTTTTAAAAGTGATTTACAAAGCATAACTTAGATGTGTCACAAGGCCGGAAGTATTGATGACTGAAGTTACTACTTGGTTGTAATTAATGTCACAAAACAAGCTTACTAGCTATTATGCCACAATGGAGTACCCATTGTAATTTGAATTAACTGACTTTAGAGAAATATTTGATTCCATTATCCATCACAAACACCTGCATATCCAAGCTTACATCACCTGATGGTTGGGTTATAGAACAAGCAGAATTATAATACAATAATCTAACAGTAATGTCTGGGTAGGAAACTTGGAAAAACCAGGAACACTAGAAAACAAAATGAGAAACACAAACATCCATATCAAGTGCAATGCTAGGGGGAAAATAAGAGATAAAAAGACAGTTTTGTAGAGTAACAACTAAATAGAGTAACAATAGGTGTTGGTTGGACAAGAAAAGACAAAGTGGAAAACAGTTTGCATGATGTCCAGTTGATGATAAACAATAGAAAATGACAAGAGAGAAGGCAGTGAGATGATTTCTGTTATGATGTTGATTTGGGGTTAGTAGAGACAAATGCCAAATAACACGTAACAATAAAAAGGGTTTCAATAGGTTGGTCAAGAGGTACAGAATCGCCTGAGTAGTCAATAACTAGCTCAGCTAAGAACTTCTCTGTCTATCTGTCTTTTTCCATGTCAACTGACATGCCACTATTTAAAGTCTTTGTTCACAGACGCAGACAAGTTCATCTTCAAGAGGGGTGGTAGGTTACCGACACAACAATTTCAAAGACTTTGCTGATGTTAGAACAGTACAGGTTTCATGGTGGGATTAGACAGAGAACATGCAGTGGATGATTATTCTATACAAGTGGATGCTGAATGTTTTCTGGCAAACAAAAATAACCTACAACTGTGTTTCCCAATGTGCGACACATGATGCATTGGACAGCAATTTGATTTTTATGGGAGGTAACTTGAGAATGAGATATTAACAGAAATTTTTTTCTAGTGTTCCTGCAAGTATGAGTATATATATATATATATATATATATATATATATTATATATATATTAAAGACATTTTATGTTTAACGTTCTTTTAGATACAAGTATTTAAGTAAATGCTCTGTTTATAATAAACAGTATTAAATAACATTTACAGGACATTGAATGTCCGGTAAATGTTATTTAATACTGTTTATTATAAACAGACCATTTACTTAAATACTTGTATCTATAAAAAAGAACATTAAAACAAAAAATGTCTTTAATAAATAAATTGCCTTTTGTCCATTTTTCTTAATATATATATATATATATATATATATATATGTGTGTGTGTGTGTGTATATATATATATAGTGCATATACAGTATGGATACATAAAAATATTTGTGTATATGTACATGTGTAATTACATATGTACTGTATATAATAGTAACAAAAATATTGTGAAATTCTAAAATTAAATAATAATACGATTATCTATATGTAGTCTCAACTTCTTAAAGAAAGTTAGCTTAATGACTTTTTAGGCTTCCTCCATGTGAATAGGAATTTAATTTTTGGATAATAAGAATTATGTTAGAGGGGTGGGCATCAGGATCTTAGAGATGCTAAGGTGGGACAAAGTCAATAACCTAGAGCCATGTACTAATTAACTTCAGTTCTATAACTTCAATTGAAGAATATAAGGTCACAGCTCTCAGCATGGTAAGCATTGCTGCAGTAGTTTTCATAACAGGAAATAGGTTTTTACGGTTTTTGAATTCAGAGTTGCACTCTTTGACTAGTTACTAAACATGGCTAAAGTGATTAGTTTGTTCTACTATTTAACCCATAGCTGGGGAAGAATGGTATTTGCACACAAGTAAATGTAATGGACTCAAATGGAATTTAATCAGCACTCTGAACCATGAAACATATATGCGATTACAGTTCTTCATGTAGTTCAATTTTGGTTTATGCACAGGTCTTTTTTCCTTCAAGACAACTGACCAAACTGTAAAGAAACCACACACACACACACACACAAAAGAGGTACAATGAAAGGTTCTCAGTTCAAATCATTTGCCAAATTTTAAACCAACAGAATTTGAGGGAAAATGCTTTCCTGGTTTGGCCAAGAATGCTCCAAGCCCTTTTATGTATTTTAAATAAAAATTCATATTATTAGTGTAATTTAATGTCACAGTTCAATAATGGCACAATTTAATTGTATTTTTTTTTACAATCTTATGTGAATACAAAATGCGCTTTGCAGGACATTGCTAATGAGAAAAACAAAAACTTTTGAGTGATCTATTGCTTACTCTGGACACCTAGCTATGGTGCAAAATGGAGTGGTCACCCAGCAATCATCTACATTGATCAGACCCTAATGGCTTTCTGACTTTGATGCAAGACTGTGATGATTAGTGTAATAGACTCATGAATGTCTGAGATAGCTTGACAGAATAATAAAATTTGTCTCATTCATCTGATGGACAGCCAGATTGTTTTTTTTTTCACCCACGACAGGTTATGGTCTCAATCTCCAAAGAGGATTGAAGGTGCATTAAAAAAAAGTGAACTTTGATAACAGCAATATTAATAGATATGCATTTGCTGATGTCACCAGAGTGGACGACTAAAATAAATAATTAAATAAATAAATAAAAAGGGACAAAAAAAAAAAAAAAAGAAAAGAAAAGACAAAATTGAATAATAAAAACTATTTTGTATTCTATATAACATGAGAAAAGAGTCAAAAGGACACTCTCTACAGACAGGAGCAATCAATTCAAGGAAACAAAAACAAGAATTTTTCATGATTAATTTCTTTCGTTTATTCTCTCATTCACTCCCTCCCTCCTTCTATTTCCGCATATTTCCATTTATTAATTGATCAAGTGAAATGAACATTTAAGTAAAACAGGAACATCCATATCACTCCCACATTTTGTCCAGGAAGTTGATTTGATTTTTAGAAATAATGGTAGTGGTGGTAGGAGTAGAAGAAAAATTTGAGAAGGAGGAGGAAAGTGAAATGATAAAAATTGATTGGGAAAAAGGAGAAGGAAACAAAATGGGAAAGTGAGAAGGAGAATGAATAATAGAACAAGTGGGGGGAAAAAAGAAGAACAAACGGGGGGGAAAAAAGAAGAACAAGCGGGGGAAAAAAAGAGAAGAACAAACAGGGGGAAAAAGAGAGAACAAACGGGGGGAAAAATAAACGGGGAATAAACGGGGGGAACAAAAGAAAGAAGAACAAACGGGGAAAAAAAAAGAGAAAGGAGAAAAAAGAGAAGAACAAAAACAAACGGGGGGAAAAAAAAGAGAAGAACAAACGGGGGAAAAAAGAGAAGAACAAACGGTGGAGAAGAAAAAAAAGAAGAACAAATGGGGGAAAAAGAGAAGAACAAATGGGGAAAAAAAAAGAGAAGAAAAAAAGAGGAACAAAAAAAAGAGAAGAACAAACGGGTGGAAAAAAGAAGAACAAAAGGGGGAAAAAAGAGAAGAACAAATGGGAAAAAAGAGAAGAACGGGGGGAAAAAAAAAAGAGAAAAAAAGAAAAAAGAGAAGAACAAACGGAAAAAAAAGAGAAGAACAAATGGGGAAAAAAAGAGAAGAACAAATGGGGGAAAAAGAAGAAGAACGGGTGGAAAAAAAAGAAGAAAAAAAAAAAAGAGAAGAACAAACGGGTGGAAAAAAAGAGAAGAACAAACGGGGGAAAAAAAGAGAAGAACAAACGGGGGAAAAAAAGAGAAGAACAAACGGGGGAAAAAAAGAGAAGAACAAACGGGGGGAAAAAAAGAGAAGAACAAACGGGTGGAAAAAAAGAGAAGAACAAACGGGGGAAAAAAAGAAGGGGGTGGAAAAAGAGAGAAGAACAAACGGTGAAAAAAAGAGAAGAACAAACGGGTGGAAAAAAAGGAAGAACAAACGGGGAAAAAAAAGAAGAACAAACGGGGAAAAAAAAAACAAAAGAAAAAAAGAACAAAAAAAAAAGAAGAACAAACGGGGGAAAAAAAGAGAAGAACAAACGGGGAAAAAAAGAGAAAAAAAGAAAAAAGAAGAACAAACGGGGAAAAAAAGAGAAGAACAAACGGGGAAAAAAAAAAGAACAAACGGGGAAAAAAAGAAGAACAAATGGGAAAAAAGAGAAGAACAAACGGGGGGAAAAAAGAGAAGAACAAAACGGGAAAAAAAAAGAGAAGAACAAACGGGTGGAAAAAAAGAGAAGAACAAACGGGGAAAAAAGAGAAGAAAAACGGGGAAAAAAAGAGAAGAAAAAGAGGTGGGGAAAAAAAAAAGTGGAAAAAAAGAGAAGAACAAACGGAGAAAAAAGAGAACGGAAAAAAGAAGAACAAACAAATGGAAAAAAAGAGAAGAACAAACGGGGAAAAAAGAAGAAAAACGGAAAAAAAAGAGAAGAACAAACGGGGAAAAAAAGAGAAGAACAAACGGGGAGAAAAAAGAGAAGAACAAACGGGGGGGAAAAAAAGAGAAGAACAAATGGGGAAAAAAAAGGAACAAAAAAAAGAGAAGAAAACGGGGGAAAAAAAGAGAAGAACAAACGGGGAAAAAAAGAGAAGAACAAAGGGGGAAAAAAGAGAAGAACAAATGGGGAAAAAAAGAGAAGAACAAACGGGGAAAAAAAAAAAAAAAAAACGGGGAAAAAAAAAGAGAAGAACAAAACGGGGAAAAAAGAGAAGAACAAACGGGGGAAAAAAAAGAGAAAAAAAAAAAAAAAAAAGAGAAGAACAAACGGGGGAAAAAGAGAAGAAAAAACGGGGGGAAAAAAGAGAACAAATGGGGGGAAAAAGAGAAGAACAAACGGGGGAAAAGAAGAAGAAAATGGGGGAAAAAAAGAAGAACAAACGGGGAAAAGAGAAAAACGGGGGGGAAAAGAGAGAAAAAAAAAAAGAAGAACAAATGGGGGAAAAGAAAATGGGGGAGGAAAAGAAAAAGAAAAAAGAGAAGAAAAACGGGGGAAAACGGGGGATGAGAGAAGAAAAATGGGGGGAGAAAAACGGGGGGAGAAGAAAAACGGGGAGAGAAAAAAGGGGAGAAAAGAGAAGAACAAACGGGGGGGGAGAAGAAAAAAAGGGAAAAAAAAAAGAGAAGAAAAAACAAAAAAAGAGAAGAACAAAACGGTGGAAAAAAAAGAGAAGAACAAACGGAAAAAAAAAGAGAAGAAAAAACGGTGGAAAAAGAGAAGAACAAACGGGGAAAAAAGAGAAGAAAAAGGGGGGGAAAAAAGAGAAGAACAAATGGGAAAAAAAAGAGAAGAAAAAACGGGTGGAAAAAAGAGAAGAACAAACGGGGGAAAAAAAGAGAAGAAAAACGGGAGAAAAAAGAGAAGAACAAAGGGGGAAAAAAGAGAAGAACAAAGGGGAAAAAAGAGAAGAACAAATGGGAAAAAAAAGAGAAGAACAAATGGGGAGAAAAAAAGAGAAGAACAAACGGGTGGAAAAAAAGAGAAGAACAAACGGGTGGAAAAAAAGAGAAGAACAAACAGGGGGAAAAAAGAGAAGAAGAAAAAGAGAAGAAAAAAGAAAAAGAAGAACAAACGGGGGAAAAAAGAGAAGAAGAAACGGGGAAAAAAGAGAAGAAAAAAGAGAAGAACAAATGGGGAAAAAAAAAGAGAAGAACAAACGGAGGAAAAAAAAAGAAGAACAAACGGGTGGAAAAAAAGAGAAGGGGGAAAAAAAGAGAAGAACAAACGGGGGAAAAAAGAGAAGAACAAACGGGGGGGGGGGGGAAAAAAGAGAAGAACAAAGAAAAAAGAGAAGAATAAACGGGGAAAAAAAGAGAAGAACAAGGGGGAAAAAAAAGAAGAACAAACGGGGAAAAAAAAAGAGAAGAACAAACGGGGAAAAAAAAAGAAGAACAAACGGGGAAAAAAAAAGAGAAGAACAAACGGGGGGAAAAAAAAAAAGAGAAGAAAGAAAAGAAGAAGAACAAAGGGGGGAAAAAAAAAAAGAGAAAAACAAACGGGGGGGGGGAAGAGAAGAAAAACGGGGAAAAAAGAAGAACAAACGGGGGAAAAAAGAGAAGAACAAACGGGGGAAAAAAGAAGAAGAAGAACAAAGGGGAAAAGAGAAGAACAAACGGGGGGAAAAAAATGGGGGGGAAAGAGAAGAACAAACGGGGGTGGGGAAAGAGAAAAAAGAAAAAAAGAGAAGAAAAAACGGGGGGAAAAAAGAAAAACAGAATGGGAAAAAAAAAAAAACGGGGAAAAAAAAGAAGAACGGGAGAAAAATGGGGGAAGAAAAAAAGGGGAGAAGAAAAAAGAGAAGAATAAAACGGGGAAAAAAAGAGAAGAAAAAGGGGGGAAATGGGGAGAAAAAACGGGGGGAAAAAAGAGAAGAACAAAAGGGGAAAAAACGGGGAGAAAAACGGGGGAAAAAAAAGAGAAGAACAAATGGGGAAAAAGAGAAGAACAAACGGGGGAAAAAAAGAGAAGAACAAAGAGGGGAAAAAAGAGAAGAACAAAAAGGTGGAAAAAAGAGAAGAAAAACGGGTGGAAAAAAGAAGAAGAACAAAAGAGGAAAAAAGAGAAGAACAAAAGGGGGAAAAAAGAGAAGAACAAAAAACGGGGGAAAAAAAGAGAAGAACAAAACGGGGAAAAAAAGAGAAGAACAAATGGGGGGAAAAAAGAGAAGAACAAACGGGTGGAAAAAAGAGAAGAACAAACGGGTGAAAAAAAGAAGAACAAACGGGGGAAAAAAGAGAAGAACAAACGGGGGAAAAAAAGAGAAAAAACAAATGGGAAAAAAAGAGAAGAACAAACGGGGAAAAAAAAAAAGAAGAACAAACGGGGGGAAAAAAGAGAAGAACAAACGGGTGGAAAAAAGAAGAAAACGGTGGAAAAAAGAGAGAACAAACGTGGGTGGGAAAAAAGAGAAGAAAAACGGGGGAAAAAAAGAAGAACAAACGGGGAAAAAAAGAGAAGAACAAATGGGGGAAAAAAGAGAAGAACAAACGGGTGGAAAAAAGAAGAACAAACGGAAAAAAAAAGAAGAAGAACAAGTGGGGGAAAAAAGAGAAGAACAAACGGGGAAAAAAAAGAAGAACAAATGGGAAAAAAAAGAAGAACAAATGGGGAAAAAAAGAAGAACAAATGGGGAAAAAAAGAGAAGAACAAACGGGGAAAAAAAGAGAAGAAAAATGGGGGAAAAAAAGAGAAGAACAAACGGGGAAAAAAAGAGAAGAACAAACGGATGGAAAAAAGAGAAGAACAAACGGGGAAAAAAAAGAGAAGAACAAACGGGGGAAAAAAGAGAAGAACAAACGGGGGAAAAAAGAGAAGAACAAACGGGTGGAAAAAAGAGAAGAACAAACGGGGGAAAAAAGAGAAGAACAAAGGGGGAAAAAAAAGAGAAGAACAAACGGGGGAAAAAAGAGAAGAACAAACGGGTGGAAAAAGAGAAGAACAAACGGTGGAAAAAAGAGAAGAACAAACGGGTGGAAAAAAAGAGAAGAACAAACGGAGGAAAAAAGAGAAGAACAAACGGGTAAAAAAAGGAAAAAAAGAGAAGAACAAATGGGTGGAAAAAAAGAGAAGAACAAACGGGTGGAAAAAAAGAGAAGAACAAACGGGGGGGGAAAAAAGAGAAGAACAAACGGTGGAAAAAAAAAAGAGAAGAACAAACGGGTGGAAAAAAGAAGAAGAACAAAACGGGTGGGAAAAAAGAGAAGAACAAAACGGGGAAAAAAAGAGAAGAACAAACGGGGGAAAAAAGAGAAGAACAAACGGGGGGAAAAAAAGAGAAGAACAAACGGGGGAAAAAAAGAGAAGAACAAACGGGTGGAAAAAAAGAGAAGAACAAACGGGTGGAAAAAAAGAGAAGAACAAACGGGTGGAAAAAAAGAGAAGAACAAACGGGTGGAAAAAAAGAGAAGAACAAACGGGTGGAAAAAAGAGAAGAACAAACGGGGAAAAAAAAGAGAAGAACAAACGGGTGGAAAAAAGAAGAACAAATGGGGAAAAAAAGAGAAGAACAAACGGGTGGGGAAAAAAGAAGAACAAACGGGTGGAAAAAAAAAAAGAAGAACAAACGGGAAAAAAAGAGAAGAACAAATGGGGAAAAAAAGAAAAGAGAACAAACGGGTGGGAAAAAGAGAGAACAAACGGGGAAAAAAGAGAAGAACAAACGGGGGGGGAAAAGAAGAACAAACGGGGAAAAAAAGAAGAATAAACGGGGGGGGAGAGAAAAAAATGGGGAGGAAAAGAGAAGAACAAACGGTGGGGAAGAGAAGAAAAACGGGGGAAAAGAAAAACGGGGGGAAAGAAAAACGGGGGGAAATGGGGGATGAGAGAAGAAAAACGGGGGAGAAACAAATGGGGGGAGAAGAACAAACGGGGGAGAGAATGGGGGGGGGAGAACAAATGGGGGTAAAAAAGAGAAGAACAAATGGGGGAAGAGAGAAGAACAAACGGGGGGGAAGAGAAGAACAAACGGGGGGAAGAAGAACAAACGGGGGAAAGAAGAAGGGGGGGGAAGAGAAGAACAAACGGGGGGGAAGAAGACAAACGGGGGAGAGAAGAACAAATGGGGGAAAAGAGAACAACAAATGGGGGGAAGAGAAGAAGAAACGGGGGGGCAAGAGAAGAGAAGTGAACAACAACTTGGAAAGACAAGAGAAGAACAAATGGTAAAAAAGAACAAATAGGAAAGAGGATAGGACAACAAATGGGAAAGAAGGATGGAAAAGATATGATTGGGAAAGAGAAGCTATTAAATTAATTACCATTATTTTCCCTGCCAAAAATCTATTTAAATCCTTCAAGTTTATTGAAACAAAACATTACCAGTCATCAGTGTTGAAATACTGGACACATTTTACTGAACTTGAAAAAGTTGAATGTGCCACTTCTCAAATCATCCTTCGTAACAATTGGATATCAATATATCAGATTGAATGTAAGGGTCACCTCTTGCACAGTCACATAAGTTCTGAGAAGCTGTTAACTTTTAAGTTGCGGTCTAATATCTGAAAATCCCCTTGGAGCCACTGGCTGATTCTTCAGACAGTGTCTCACAAGGTGATGAGATTGGAAATGTCATTCTTTAACTCTGGCAGGCATTTCTGGGAAAGTTGCTGCCCAGTGACACTTCAATTTACAAATCAAAAATACTTGTACTTTTTAAGAGTAAAGACAAAAAAAAAAAACAAAAAAAAAAAAACTATATTTCTTATCTTCTATTTGGATTCAGTACATTATTATTATTATTATTATTGATAACTTTATTGTAAAAATATTCATATTTGCTTTGCTATTATTCTGATAAATGCTGAAGTTTTCACTATTTAAATCTTGTACTGAACTGGGATAATTTAGGCAAAATGTACAATGCCAGAGTACCCAGACAGAGCAAAAAACATTTCAGAGTGTTAGCACTTAAAGGACAGCTCAAGCTGTTATGAAAGTTTCCTGCTCTCGCAATCTTCAGACAAGAATGAATATAATTGTCTATTTGAGCAGCAATCTCTTTTTTATACAAGTTTCCTTAAAGATGACTCACAAGTACGGCAGTTAAGCTTTTTATTCAACTTTTCTTGCATTCATACAAATATTTTCTTTTTTGGACATAAAGTGTGTAAAAACCATCCAAATGTTCATTACATCCAAGCACTTCTGGCTATTCTTTTAGTCATTATCAAGGATTTTTCTTAACTGATTATGTCGCTTTTTATATATGTTTATCTATAAGGATAGGAATGCCTCCCCCAACACACACCAGAACACAGTCAGCATGTTGTGGCCATGTTTGAAAAGAAAAAAAGAACAGATCTCTGTTATTAGAGCCAACTACAATGGCTGAAATGTTGACAGTAACAACAAAGATGAAGACAAATATATATATAGTTTTAAAGTGTGCTATATTTATGGGATAAAGTGCTCAATATCAGAGATAGAGCGTATGTAAATATAAAAGGGAACATTGAAGTCAACACTCAGAGGCGACAGACTGTTTCATGCTAGATGCAGTCATCAAGCCATGAGTGTTGGATTTTTCTCGACTATATATATGGGTCAGTGGTGAATTGTGGGTAATCCATTCTGGCAGTTATTTTGGTGGGTGTGGCTTATTTATTTATTTATTTGGGTTAATTTATTTTGCTTGTTTTTTATTTTCATTTTTTATTTTATATTTATTTATTCTTTTCAGTTTTCGAAGTTTTATTAACCTAGTAAAAAACTGGTGGGGGGGATTTGTTTAGGTTGCTTATAAATGTTTCGTTTTGGTCTGGGAAGATAAAGCTATTTATTCATCCAATTTTTGGATTGATTGCCATAGTCTATTCTGCTATTTTGGCGGGGGACAGTTTTTAATTATTTATTTACTTATTTGGATTAATTATTTTCACTTGTTTTTGCTTATTTATGTTAATTAGTTCATACTGTCAGAAAAATGGATGATACATTTGTTTTTAAAAGATACCGAAATTAGAAGAACTGGTTAAATATTGCTTGCTCTGAAGAGTCACAATTTCTGCTACATTGCGATGGGAGGAGCAGAATTTGGCATTAATGACATGAAAGTATGGGTCCAGCATGTCTTGTATCAACAATTCATTGATTGTTTTCTATGCCTTATAAATCCTTTGTGGGTTATTTAAAGCCAAAAAAATACTTTTAGATTCTAAAGAGATTTTTTTAAAAATAAGATTCAGCAATACAAGTTTTACTAATTAACCCATAACTGGGAGGAGAAGAGGTGTATTCATACCTAATCAGAATTTGATAAACAAGAAATTATAATGTGGATATAAAGTGGGTTATCAATTCTATATTACAATCAATATATAAACTGATCCCTCACAGTAGTTTACATTTCTATTTCATAGAATGTAAATAAATCTAGCTGTGTAGCTAATTAGTATTTGATCAATTCATTCATTTTCTATACTTTATTAAACGTTCACAGATTATTTAAAGCCAGAAAATATTTTTAGATTGGAAGAATTTTATGGCAGGGGGTAGAGGGATAATAATGGTTTAATGATACAAGTCTTACTAATTAAACCATAGCTAGAAGGATAAGAGGAGGATTCATACCTTCCCCAAGGGCATTTCTGTATGTGAATATAACAAACCCAATGGGAATTGGAACTTGACTTTCTGATTAACAATTTTGAGCCATTATCCATTACACCACCTGAAAATACAAGCCTACAGCACCTGGTATTCTCAAGTGGTTACCCATCTAGGTTCTGGCTAGACTCAACATTGCTCAACTTTGGTGATCATACAGGAAGTATTATTTCAATGTGTTGTGGCCATATGCTCAACAGTTCAGATAAGTGGTTGTGGTGTAATGCTATCAGGAATATTGGTATCAATAAAGAATGAATATAATTGTCTATTTGAGCAGCAATCTCTTTTTTATACAAGTTTCCTTAAAGATGACTCACAAGCACGGCAGTTAAGCTTTTTATTCAACTTTTCTTGCATTCATACAAATATTTTCTTTTTTGGACATAAAGTGTGTAAAAACCATCCAAATGTTCATTACATCCAAGCACTTCTGGCTATTCTTTTCGTCATTATTAAAAAAAAACAAAAGACTAGAATTTGAACTAGGCTTGCCAACTCCATTCTTCACATTGATAATCGTTACTTACCTGAAGTTAGATATGGATGACCCAAATTCAACAATATGGGAATGTTTACTTACCTGAAAGAGAGAAAAACATTAAAAGAGATTAGTTTGCCTGAAGAAATATAACATACAATTAAAACAAACAAATTACATAAAAACAGTAAAATATCTTATATTTCTGCAGGTTAATGTCTTATTCCTTTTTTTGTATTTTTTAATTTGCTTACCTATATCTATATCAATCTGTTCCTATAAATCAGGGTTTCCCAATCTGGGCAATGAGCAACTGAACAGAAAATGGTCGGCATTGGAAATTATGGTGGGTGATATAAGATTGAAAAGGTATTTCAAAATATGCAACTCAAAAAAAAAAAAAAAAAAAAAAAAAGGAGACGTGTGAAGAACCTATATATATATATATATATATGCACACACACTTTATTTTATATTACATCAGAACATGTGAATAATACTATACAAATACAATCATATTTCAATGTGTATTAACACATCTCATAGACAATTTATTCTATAAATGTTAGGAACATCAGAATTTATATTCAATTCATTCTCATTTCATATATATATATATATATATATATATATATATATATATATATATATATATATAAGAAACAAAAATAGCAGAAGGCTAAATGGGAATAATTGGATCACATTCTGAGATAAAATATAAAATATCCCAGCAAAGAAGTTTAGTCTGAAGAATTATTTGAATGTTAATGACCATTCTCAAACTAAAGGAAATATCAAAAACATTTTTTAGGGGGAGGGTGTAAATCAGATAGAGGAAGACATCATGTAGAAAAAACAACTGACCTTTACTAAATTGATGAACACAGACTCTTCGATTCACTATGAGAGTAACATCAGCTCATAGGACCAGGAGACGCAAAGTGTGTCAAGCTCCTTGCTACACTAATTACAGTATTTGCTATCATTGTATTATTAATCCATGTGATAAAATAGTTTCTTTACTAATTTTTTCTTCCAGTGTTTTCTTTGGAATATTATTAACTGGAACTACAAGCTTATACATGCTAAATAACAGAAAACCAAGAACAAAAAAACATTATTTGCTGAATTTCTATTAGTTACTTGTAGAGAGTATTCTTTTTAATTTTATAATTAGGAACAAATATTGTTTAATTTTTGGTCAACATTTGTAATGCTAACCTTGACCACGAAAGTAAATTATATAGTTTTCAATGATCAAATTAGCAGCAGCTGCCACAGCTTAAGTCAACATTATTTAGGACCTTACTTTAGTAATATTTTATTTTTATTTTTTACAAGATCATAAAGTCAATTTATGAACTAATAAACTTTTACCAAACAATTTTGGTGTGCTTTTGAATATTTACCATACAGGTGAGCAGTGGAAAATGTGGGTGATGGTGTAAAAATGGTTGAGGTCTTGGGTTATAAATACATGTATACCAATGCCTATTTAACATTGTGTGTGTATATATATATATATATTTTTATGTATACTTCAGCAGCATTTTTTCATTCATACATGTTTCATTAAATGATATAGACAAGTGTTGTGTATTTATTTTATGTAAATTCCTTTTATAACGTCAGATATATATATATATATATATATATATATATATATAAAATATGTATCAATATTATGATTTTCTTTCTTCGTTTAATGATAATGTTATTAAGCTTATCAGATGTTATGAAAAGAATTTACATAAAATAAATAGACAGCACTTGTCTCTATTATTTAATGAAACATGTATGAATATATATATATATATATAAAAAATATGTATCAATATTGTGATTTTCTTCGTTTAATGATAATGTTATTAAGCTTATCAGATGTTATGAAAAGAATTTACATAAAATAAATAGACAACACTTGTCTCTATTATTTAATGAAACATGTATGTATGAATATATATATATATATATATGTATGTATGTGTGTGTATGTAAGTATGTATTTAAACAAAACAGAAGTCATTTTATACCTTAGGTACCTTTCAACCAACACTTTTTCAAAGGTAAATTGGAAAACAAACAAAGACACACTCAATATAGCGAATGAGGAGGGAAAGTTGGAACATGATTAAAAAAAAGAGATAAATCTTAATTAGAAACAATTAAAAT